AATTTGTAAGAATAAATTATTATAAAATATAAATGTTAAGATAAGATGTAGAATGAGCAGGTCACTCCGAATTTTCTGTGCTAGCAGTTTTTGGGTTTTAGGGCCTGTTCACATGAGTTTCAGGTCCTGATCAGGTCCTGAACAGGTCCGGATCTGCAGACGCGGTGCTATTGATGCAGTGCGTTTTGGCCGCATTTTGGCAGCGTTTTGGCCACATTTTTGATGCGTTCCAATGAAAAAAAAAAAACATTTTTTTTTTGCTGGAGTGGGGCTGTTAGTATGTTAGCTGCAGTGCAGTGCGTTTTGGACGCGTTTGCGTTTCCTGACCGTACAAAATGTGACATGCAGTATTATTCTGTCGTAACCTGAACGGACTGCGCACGTGAGAACTGTAGCCCATAAAAACACATAGGGATACATTGGGATGCATTTTGAGTGCAGGAGCGTACGGATCAGGTCAGCACACAAAACGGGCGTCGTGTGAACAGGCACTCAGACTCAAACTTTGCTCCATCAGCAAATATTGGTAATTCGGGAAAAAATTAGCTATATGGCGGGGGGGAGGTTGGGTTATTATGCAAGGGACATCTGGTTAAGGCTTCTCCTTAACTTCCCAGATGCTGTACTTTTTAAATTATTTTAAAAGTGACTAGGAATAGGTGAAGAATAAAGACGATGTAAACAGTGTCTTTACTTTTAAGGCTTTAGGGCAGTAGAAGACAGTAGCAGCGTGCCATCAGTTGTGGACAATGAAGTCTCTCCCCAGACATAAAGCTACCTTTGTATCACATACAACATATAAACACCAATTTTGACTTTCATGTACAAATTGCTGTGAATGGCCTCCTGAACAAGATTTAAAGACTCCAAACAGTCACAAATGGGTACTTGAGGTTTTTCTTGAAGATCATATCAGTGTGGTAAAAGCAGCTTGCAAATTCTTGTATTATGTATTGCTCATGAGGGATTGTAGAACCAAGAAGCTCCAAAACAGAAAACTGCTCTTGGTTTCAACTTGTAGGATACTGTATAGATTATGACAGCACTTTAGTGATCTCCAAATGTAAAACATGAAGCTTTCCCTAGAAAATGCAATTCTTTAGAGAGAAAATATGTAGCAGTGATGATGGAAGCAAAACCTATAATTTCCTGAAAAGTGGTATTCTGTATTAATTCACGAGGTGGAGTTTTGCCAGCAGAGCAAAATTTAATGGTTACCTCCGACCCAGAAGCAATTATAATAGTGCAGCCACTAATGCCATTGAAGAGTTTGTGTATGCTTTTTCTGAATATACAAGTGATTTACATTTGATCCCCCATAAAGTCTTTTGTGATGTATACTACACTGCATGCTTCCTGCACACCTGGTAGACAGTCTAGTGGCCAACTGAAGAATTGCATGAGGCAGGTTGACAACTCTGCTACTAAAGCTGCAGATACACCTTTTTCGTTTGCAATCGCGTTTTTGTCCTATATTCGTAAGGTTAGTGGGGAGTCTACAACCTGAAATACTGTACAAGTGTGCGATGTTCACCTTTCCAGCATGCTAGAAATCTTTGGTTGACTGTACGATTTTCCCACGGTTGGTGGTGTTTTCGTATGTCAAAATTCATACGATTAACACTGCTCATGCGCAAACAAAAATCCGTGTGGTCGATTAACGAAATTCGTACAGGTGATTTCTGCTAAAGACCACTAATTGAACTGTGCAATGGTCGGGGCAGGATGGGGCCTCCGTACGAAAATCGTACGACGGTTCGATCATCGGACGAAAATTATCGTCCAATGATTGCAAGGTGTATGGACACCTTTATGGTGAGCAGTGGCTTAGGATTATCAGCTTGCAACAGAAAGTACTGTAAAGCTGGCCATACACCTTACAACCATCGCACAACTTTCGTTGTGCAATGGTTGTAAGGTGATTAAAATTTCGTACGATCTGCACGTCTTGGACAGGGCTTGCCGATGATTGCAATGCTGACCGCGCAGTGTGCGCTTGCGCATATCGGCCCGTGCGGCATTCGTCTTCCAAGCACGCCACCAATCTACGATTTTCGGTGGGTTTTCCAGTGTGCTCGGAAGACGAAAGTCGCTGCGCCCTTAAAGTAGAAGCGGTCGCATGCTGCCCATACACCTGCCGATTATCGTACGACCGCAGGATCACACGCGATTATCGTACGATAATCGGCAGGTGTATGGGCACCTTTACAGGCACGATCTCCAGGTAAGAAAAATGGCAGCAGATTCACAAAAAATGATTTACTTAAGAAAGCTGTAACCAAGCTTAAAGATAGATTTTTGGGGGGGTTTGCACACACTTTAAATACATTTACCGTGTTTTAGCAATATCATTGGTGACAGTATAATTATGTGTTGGTTTGTTAAAGGAAATCTCTGGAAAAATGGTTTAACATGGCTTAACATGTATATTTGCTACATAAACCTGTCTGTATTTTCGTATTATTAAAATCCCTTTTCCATTTCAGTCTGTAGCCAGCTATACTTTTCAAAAATTGCCAAATATTAAAATATTGCTTTCTTGTAACCATAGTAACTATGGTGATGTAGAGGATTTTTTCTACAATGTTTGCATAGAGAACAGCCCTGAAAAGGTCACTTCCTGCACATATGATTGGCTCCCTGACTTTTCCAGCAGTTTTTTCTTAGTACTGCATTGGTACTTATCAATTATAACAAGCGGACCCTTTAATTTTGCACTCTCTCTGTCCTTATTTTTGGAATGGCCTCTTTGTTTCTAAAAAGCAGAAGCAGGTAAGAATCTATAATTACGTTTACTCAAATTCTTACAGTTAATACAACTGACAAAAAAACTATTATTTTTTTGTAAATATATAAAACTTCTCTTTAAGACATATATATTTCTCTTCTTTGTGGGGGGAATAATCTTTGACTTTTCCCAATGTTTTGCAATACAGTAATACTTGTTTACTTGCTAAGATGTGATTTTGGCTTCCCTGGGTTATAGCGTTTTGCACAATATCAATAGCTTATTGTATAAACATCTCCCCCTCTTTCCTGGGGCGGATTCAGGAGAAATCAAGTGGACAGGAAAAGTGTTATTTCCAAGGATTCTGCACACTTGGGGTTTCAGATCAGTGGTACTCGATGGGCACTGCTAAATCATATGTGAGAAATTCACAGATACAATGAGCTTCCAAATTAAGGATGGGAATGCAGGAATATTTTCAGAGACATTGTGGTGCCAATTAGCAAAAAATATAGATGAGAAGAAAAGTCAGTGGAGTTGAGACTATAGCATAGTGAATAACAATAAATAGGGTTAAACTGTGTTCACGTTGAATAGCCAAAAGAAAAAAGAAAAAGCAACATTGAATGATTATTGAAGTGAACGCAGCTTCACCATATTTACCAAGCTCAATCAACATTCAGTTTGCAAAGGAAACAGCCTCTAGTACTTTTGTAAATCATCCCCAACATGTGTGTTTTCCTTTACATACAAATAAATTATTCTGTTTTTTTGTACCATTCAATAAATTGGGGATACATATGTTAAAACTAATTTTATTATCCCGAACTTAGCCGAGCGGCTCAGCCGAGCCGAACGCATATGCCTCAGCTAGGCTGAGCCGCGCTGAAAGCCGAAGCCGGCCGAGCAAGGCCGGCCGACAGCCTGCTTCTGACAGCTGGGCGGAGCCAGCAGTGATGTTACGGTTGGCTCCGGCCACTTGCAGAGAGATCAGCGTCCCTGGTTACCAGCTAACCAGGGACACTGATCTCCAGACAGCAAACTCTCACGGGCACTCCGGGAGTCTCCCGCTCCCGTCCGCCAAGGAGAGAAACACTGCTTTTTCTTTTTTTTTATTTACGGAGCCATGTCAGAATAGAAAAAAAAACAATCTTGGCCATAGGAACGCATTGCCAGATTCCTATTGGCTATTTCAGTTTACAATAGCCAATAGCAAACTAGCATTGCACCCGCCCTCTGCTGCAGTTCTCCATCAGGTCCACCACTACTGATTGACAGCAGCAGAGGGCGGGTACAATAGCTAGTTTTCTATTGGCTATTGCAAATTGAAATAGCCAATAGGAATCTGGCAATGCGTTCCTATGGCCAAGATTGTTTTTTTTTCTATTCTGACATGGCTCCGTAAATAAAAAAAAAGAAAAAGCAGTGTTTCTCTCCTTGGCGGCCAGGAGAGGGAGACTCCCGGAGCGCACGGGAGAGGTTTTTTTACTCTTCTTTTTTTTTACGGCAGCAGAACCGCCAGCTAATAGAAAACAGTTGGGTGGGGCTAGCTGTCACTGCTAGCTCTGCACAATCGTTTTCTATTTATTTTTTTTCTACTTTTTTTACTATTTTTCTGTTCTGCTCAGCGGCATTCGGCTATTCACTCACTGCTGTTCGGCATCTATGAGAATGGACCGAACAGCAGCGAGTAGCCTGCCGGAGGTTCAGCTCAGCCGATCCAGATGTTGGATCGGCTGAGTCGAACTCCTTCTGCACTTCGGCCGACCCGAAGCCACGCGAAGCCACCCAATGTACGGCTGATTTCAGCCAATATACGGCTGAAATCAGCCATACCAGCCTGAAGTGAATAGCCGAACAGCGTTTGGCTCACTTCGCTTCAGGTCGGTCATTCACCTACGGCAGCTTAGTGAATAGACCCCATTATTTCTATAAAAAGTCAACAGCAAAATGTATAATATATAAATAGATTTATATATAAAATATTTTTGTAATTATTCATGCCTCCCATCAATTAATATTTAATGAAGAATAAAAATATAACTTTACTGATCTTGCTGAAAAAAAAGGCTGGTAGGGAACTGTTATAAAACAAGTACTTAAAAAGAAAATGCTTTGATTTTTAACGATGCAACATTTGCGGTATTAGAAATAAAACCTTTAGGTGGCAGGCCAAAATAGTTTACAAGCCACCATGCTTATTAATAGGCCTGACTCCTCTTTGCAATGTCATGTGTAATGTTAATCCTCATACTAAGTCACAGAGTCTCAAATGTCAACTGTCACAAGCTGTTCTGCTCTTCTGCTGCACACATCTAACAGCAAGATGGAGAGTTTTGAAGAAAATAATGGAGATAAAGATAAACTATTGGAACCACCAAGTGCAACCGATTTGTACACAGAGGAAGATGATGTGAAAGCTACAATTAAGCCCCGCTTATCTCCACTTCCCAGAAGACGAGCATCATCTGTATCTTCGGATGATGGGGAGCTGGAACCACCACCTACAGTTACAAGAAAGGTGTCTTTTGCAGATGCTTTTGGCTTTGATTTAGTTTCTGTCAAAGAGTTTGATACATGGGAAGTACCAATTGTATCACAAACTTTTGAAACAGAGAGCACCAACATTGAGGAATTTTATTTAACTCCAAGCTTCATATTACCTTCAATTGGTGGCATAATGGAAAGTCTGCACACAAAAAAAGTGACCCTAGAATCGGTGGATTTTATACCAGGCGTAACAAGTATGAAGGGGATTATAAGAGTGCTTAATTTGTCTTACGAAAAGCAGCTCTATGTAAGAATGTCTCTTGATGACTGGCACAGCTTTTATGATCTACTAGCAGAATATATTCCTGATTCTTCTAATGGGAAAACTGATCAGTTTGGTTTCACTATTTCATTAGTTAGCCCCTATCAAAAAGAGGGTGCACGGGTGGAGTTCTGTATATGCTATGAAACTGCCATTGGTACATTTTGGGATAACAATGATGGATGTAATTATGTGCTAACATGTCAGAAAAAGGAAAAGTTTGTGGAAGTTGATAAACCTTCAGAAGATGTAGCAGACAAAAATAAGAAAAGTTGTCTTAAGCCAGCAGTAAGGTAAGAGTGTTATGTGTATAACACATAATATGTAGCTCTCATTATAATACATTCCTTTAACCTTCCAGAACACAGAGAGGTGTAAATATAGTGCTTTTTGTACTATAGGCTGTAACCTTTGCTGGTGATCTTAAACACAAGCATATGCATCTGGATGAGCATGTAGTTATAAACATATGTTTGCTAAATCATGTACACGTCTGTGACCAGTGTATCTGTGTGATATCTGTGGTCACCTTCAAGGGTCTAAGGTCACATAACACTGTCTCTAAGCTGCTGATCAGTAACAGTGTAAAGGAACTAAATGGCTAAGCAATGTTTACAAAACCTCCAACCACGACAATGTAATTGTTGTAGTAAATTAGTTTTTTTTTAACCCCTTCATGACAGGCCCTTTTTTCATTTTTTGCACCCATGTTATATTCCACATTTTAGGCCTGAAAATGACGTAAAACCCCCCAACATTATATATTTTCTGAATGCCAAGACCCTATAGAATAAAATGGTGGTAGTTGAAAATTTTTATGTTGCGCAATATTAGCGCAACTCCTTATTAAACCCCAAAATTTAGTGACAAATGTAATTAAATGCCCCAAAACACAACAAATTACCCATTTTTTTAATGAAATATAAAAGATGAGGTTACAACGAGTAAAACGATACCCAACATGTCCAGTTTACAGATTGCGTGTGACCGTGAAACGGCGAAAAACTGCAGTACCCCAAAAAGTCAATAAAAGACACTTTAAAAGCCCCCACAGGTCATCAATTTAGAGATACCCCAAAATACTGGCCCTAGAATTATTGCTCTCACTCCGGTGTGCACGGCGATACCCAACATGTGTCGCCGGGAGTCTGTTTAAACAGCCCCGATGCTGGCGACGTACACTGTACGTCGTCAGTCACGAAGGGGTTAAAGTCGAAAAATATAAAAAAGATTGACTGAAATTACTTTGGATACTAAAGCCTCCATCATCACATGTAAGGACAGCATAAAACTTAATTATAGCAATCTTATACAAACATGCTTTGGTATATTCTGTGATACTGTTATTAAATATAGCAGGAAGCTAATAGTAATGCTACTAAAATACAAATAATCAGTAACATTATAACAGATAGAAGATACTTATATTTGAACTTTGTCTTTTATGATGCTGAAAAAGTATTAGATTTCTGAATATGTATTTCCCAAATGAATTTACCTGGGGCTGAGCATTGTCCTGTTATGTGCAAGTGTATTTCTCAGTTCAGTGTGACCAGAGTAGTACCACTATATGACTACTGATTCACTAGTTATAGGACTATAAACTTTCAATGACACTTTATAATGTATTGTATATTAAGTGCTAAAAGTCCAGAAAAAAATCCTTAAAGTAAACATTTAGTATAGGTGCAAAATGTGCAGAACAAAATGCTTGAATTAACTTTTTAGAATAGACAAATATGAGCCTGAAATTGCTGACCTACTTTTACAAATGCTAGTAAACTTGCTGTTAGGCTGACCATCTGGTATAAGTATGTTACAGACCTGGATCATGCATGCATATCTGGAAAGTCAGAGGTCCTTATCTGTATACCTGTTTTGCATTAATGACTAAACATTTTCAAGTAAGAAAGTGAGCATAACAGCCATGGCTTCTTTTTTAAAACAATAAACTCTCACACACTACATTATTGACCAGGTTATTGACTTACTAGATTGCAAAGCCAGGATCAAGATAGCAGCCCGGCACTTGCAGTTTTAAAAACAAGCAAACAGAGTTCATTTTTAAAGGATAACTGCAAGAACGAGCAGCAAAGATCCTCGAGGACCTTTGCTACTTTATCTGCTGGGTGCCCCACAGACTCTTCTCCTAAAGTTAACAATTTGGAGGTTTGCTAGGGGAAGGGAAAGATGACCCCATAAAATATAATTCTACTAAAAGTACGGCAATCCATTAAAGAAACACTGTCACCTTGCCAATTCAGGGCAAAGTGACATTTTCAAATAACTGTCCCCCTTGACAAACGAATACCTTACCAGCACTCACCTACTGCTCCCTCCTCTAGCGCAGTGAACAGCCCCTAGTGCTTCTGGGTGTGGGCAAGCATGTGACTTCCTCTCATGCAACAGTGTGTAGGTGTAGCAGCCAATAGCTAGGCCCAAGGAATGCCAAATGATAAAAGGAATTATGTCACAGCTCTCATTTTGCAATCAGCACCAGCTGACATAGGTGACATTAGTGCTGGGTGAAACAGAGGAAGACGTGGTGGGGTAGTGCTCGAAAGGTGAATATCAGTGGGTCGGAGGGGGCCTCTTTGCAGAGACACTTGGGTAAGGTAAATGTGTCACTTTAAGTAAAGTTTATGTAGCTTATGGTGAATCACACAGACAAAGAAGTCTATATGTGCCTTTTGGTATCCTTAATTAGAAAACCATTCTGTCCTCCACCATAGAAATCCTTTACTCTACCAATGCAAGTACAATTGAAGGTGGTCAAAGAAAAGAAATAGAGATATTTACAATTATGCAGCGCCAACAAAAATTATGTGAACAAATATCAGTGACTGTACATTGTAATGTGTATCGTGATAAATTATTGAAAAGGAAGGCTGCAGCAAAACAAGACCACACGGGGCAAAGCCTAAATGTTTTTTCGATTATTTAAAACTCTGACATATGAAAAACAGACTAACAGACCACCACCAGAGAATGGTGTATAATGTGACAAATGCTCCATACTGAGCCTTTAGTCCAATTGGGCTTTGTCAGGAACCTGGAGTATGAATTAGTTCAAACTAACAGATTTGCAGCAAACACAGGACAGCACATTTGTATTTCTGGGTTATTTTGATATGAGGGGTGTGGTACAAGAGCCTACCTCTGCTTAATATTTGTATGCAAATATATATTGACAATTACATTCAATATAACATATAACATTGCAGCAGTAACTTTTCACTAACAATGTCCTACAGATGATCAATGAATAGATTGATTCTGTCATGTTGCACGTGTTTGAAAATCACTCAGTGTAATAACAAGCACTTCTCATGTTTGTAAATGCTTGTCATTACCAATTTGTTACCACATATGCTGCCTGATTATTGCAATGTTCTAAATAGTTAGAAAATGTGACCTTTAGCTTTGTTCCAGAGAAACAATGCCAAACTTTGATTTCTTTGCAAGTGAGTTGTCAGGTTAAAGGAGAATTATGATGTGAGTGCTTTTCACTCACCTCATAGTTCTAGCCGACCAGTGACAATGAGACTGTCACAGGTCGGCTCAGTAGATCGGTAAGTGAGCGAACCCATAGCGGCGTTCGCTCACTTCTCGATCCTGTCACAGCTCTCTGCCGTGACAGGGGAGTGGCTGGATTCCCCCCTCCCTGCTCCGATCCTCCAGCGCTGACTGGCGGAACGGACGGGGGAGGGGCGGGTACAGCTGGCTCTGCCTCTAGATAGGCAGAGCCAGCTGTCACTCACACAGCTGGGTGGATCCAGAAGTAATTGTCGGGATCCGCTTCAGCTGCGGCGTCTCAGTATACCGCAAGCTGTAGCTCGCGGTATACTGCGGGGTCTCAGTATACGGCGAGCTGCAGCTCATGGTATACTGAGCTTAGGGTGACGGGAGGACGCTAGTTTGTGTCCTCCCATTACCCTAAGGAGAACTATGGGGAAAAGCCCTAACCCCATAGTTCTCCTTTAAGTTTCAGTAGTGAGGATTTTGCATATATATCTCACTACTCAGAATACTAGGATGAGTCATTCATTATACCTTTGAGGACAGTAGAAATATATTTTGTCACTAAGAGGTCAAAAAGGACCAAATCAATCATATGATCATATGATTTGTATGTAGGAATGCAGCCATTCCTATTGACACACACTTCTGATCTGGAAGTTGGGCAATAACATGTCCAAATCCATTGACTGAGCTAGTCTAGATAGTTGTCCCAATGAGCCCTGTGGAAAATATGGTGAAGTGCATTTGTAGGCTTTACACATGGCTCTGCACTTCCTTAGCAGCTTGGTAGACTTTGCTGCATCATTTACAAGCTACATTGCCCATTCTTAAATTGATCAATTATGTGTTTGAATGAAAGCTTTAATCATTAATGGAGATGGATAAAGCATGTCACTGGTGCAGCAAAGCAATTCTAGATGCCAAGAAAGCCCTAAGAGGGAGTGAAAACAATGTTTCACCAATGCAAGCAGCATATGTATTTGTCTATACAATTTTAATCAAGCACAAGATCTAATGGATGCACTAATCAGTCTAGTGGCTGTCATGCTTTCTTCATTATATTTACTATTTCATTTTCACAATGGTAATATAATAGTTAAAGCAGGGCTCAAAATTTCAAGTCCTGAGTTAATAGCCAGGCCTTAAGAGTTACTCGCCACCAGTTGCCCCACCTGACCCCTACCCTGCCCCGGCCTTAACTCCGCCAGTTCAGTGGTGTGACGCAGAGTACAGAGATCAGTAGCAATGCAGAGTACAGAGACTAGCAGTGTGGCACACTGTACAGAGACCAGCGGTGTGACGCACAGTACAGAGACCAGCGGTGTGACGCACAGTACAGAGACTAGCGGTGTGGCACACAGTACAGAGACCAGCGGTGTGACGCACAGTACAGAGACCATCGGTGTGACACACAGTACAGAGACTAGCCGTGTGAGGCAGAGTACAGAGGCCAGTGGTTCAACGCAAAGTACAGAGCCCAGTGGTATGATGTACAGAGGTCATTAATGTAACACTAGCCGTGTGAGGCAGAGTACAGAGGCCAGTGGTTCAACGCAAAGTACAGAGCCCAGTGGTATGATGTACAGAGGTCATTAATGTAACACGTAGTACAGAGCTCAGCAGTATGATGCGCAGTACAGAGGTCAGCAGTACAGAGGTCAGTAATGTAATGCACAGTACAGAGGTCAGCAGTATAACACACAGCACAGAGGTCAGTAATGTAACTCACAGTACAGAGGTCAGTAATGTAATGCAAAGTACAGAGATCAGC